ATGTAGTTGTTATCATGCTGGGCCTCCCACTGCGTCTTACGCCACTACATCATACATGTGCGCACTAAACACTAAACCAAGTAGCCATTACCATGATTACAATACTGATAACGTGCATTATTATGTGTATGGCATCTCACGAGGCGGGCGGCGGCAGTTCTCGCAACTGATCACGCCCACAGACCTCACAATCATGTCATAGTGAGGCACTGCTATTGTAGTATCCCTGCCCGACCAATACGGAAGCAGTACGGAACTAATACGGAGCTTGCCTGATGTATATTTAGTGTATCTCCGTATGTAAGCGTACGTCGTCTGCTGCATAAAAGCGGCTGCGCATTTCTGTGTTGATGAAGATTAGATTAGATTGGATAGCAATGAAAGCTAACTCGAAGAAGAAGGATTCAACCTCTAGGTGAGCACCGGAGAGAAAGTTATTTATTTTGCCGCTTCTTCTTTCACTAACAATTATATCTCAGGTGTGTACCTGAAAGTAGAATAAAAGTAATTCTTGTTGATTTCACCGCGCCTACCACTCGGCTACCCATTACATTGGTGGCAGCGGTGTGTTTAAAAAATAAATAAAACAACGTGATTCGACCCCAGACCCCCATGGCTCAACCCGCTGCAGCTCCCTGCGACGAATCAAGATGAGAATCATGTTTCTTGCCGTCCTGGGCTTGGCCCTACTTATTAGCTTGCAGCACAGTCAGGGTGCTAGCGTGGATCACCCTTCCCTCCGCATGGCATCCACTGGAGACTCCGATGGCGATTCCAAGCGACCCGCTACCTACATGTTTACTACCGGTGGTGATGGCGAAGCTGATGAGGACGACAACAGGCAGGCTGCTGCCCAAGACAAGGAGGGTGTTCCCCAAGACCAGCAGCGTTTGATTTTTCGCCGGCACGCAGTCGGAAGCAGGAGCCCACTCTTCACTTGGTACTTCGTCTCCGTGATGGGATTCAGATTTTCGTCAACACTCTTCCTGGCTAGACCATCACTCTTTACGTCGCGCAAAGCGATGCTATCGACAATGTGAAGACCACGATTCCAGACGAGGAGGGAGTCATTTGTCTGACGCCGAGCTAGCCGCTCTGAGTGACCGGCTCAACCAAGATGAAGATAAAACCTAGCTTGACCTCCGCTGTAGCTCCAGCCGCCGCCGTGGTTACTAACGCTGATTCCAGGTATGGCATTTTCTTTCCTGTCTTCCTTCAGTCTCCCTGTTCTCTTCAGTCTACCTTTATGCGAGTGTGTGAATCCAGTTTAGTTTGGTAGGCGTCTGATCATGGTGAGCCACGGTTTACCCAGCTAACGTGGGACAATGTGTGTGACAACGCCCCTTATAGTTATAGTGTATTCAGTTCGGTTTTTGGACTGCGATGTTCCTGGCGGGTTGTGCCAGCGTAGTGCAGCAAGAGTGCTGTGGTTTCAGGTCCTATTTGAGGACAGTTCTTTCCCTTTTGACCCCGTGAGATCGTGTGAACCTGGTATGCTTTTACTTCTATTTTATGATTTGTTATCAGTTCATTTCTTCTGTCTACTCTAAACGTTATCATTTCCGATATAATTTGCCATCTTCCGGTTGACGCTGTGTTCGTAACTCTTCACTAATTTTTTGAAAACCACGAGGGCGTGATAATCTGTAGGAAGGGAGGGTGTAGTATCCCTGCCCGACCAATACGGAAGCAGTACGGAACTAATACGGAGCTTGCCTGATGTATATTTAGTGTATCTCCGTATGTAAGCGTACGTCGTCTGCTGCATAAAAGCGGCTGCGCATTTCTGTTTTGATGAAGATTAGATTAGATTGGATAGCAATGAAAGCTAACTCGAAGAAGAAGGATTCAACCTCTAGGTGAGCACCGGAGAGAAAGTTATTTATTTTGCCGCTTCTTCTTTCACTAACAATTATATCTCAGGTGTGTACCTGAAAGTAGAATAAAAGTAATTCTTGTTGATTTCACCGCGCCTACCACTCGGCTACCCATTACACTATGTGTACAGTGGTAGATCTACATTGCTGGAGAAGTACTGAAGTACGCTAAAGTTGAGGGTAGATGCTTGACCTCACAATGGCTCTAAACCTGGTTCAACCATTGTTGACGTGACATACAGCATAGCGCTAAAACCGTCACAGGGGTATTTGTATTTATCTATTCTCCACAGGCCTTAGCCTAAATCGTGGGAATCTCCGTCAACAGCTTATGAAGAAGAAGCTGAGGAGAGAAATAGAAAATAATAATTAGAGATAGAATGATGCGGGGTGGTAGTAATATTATAACCCAGTGCTCTAGGGGTGGTAGTAATATTATAACCCAGTGCTCTAAGACATCGCTACTCTATGTGGAAACCAGAGGGCTCATAACGGGTGATAGCAAAGTGTGTGCGGACAAGAGCGATAAAACATTTTGGGCTGGATACAGTACGAATGGCAGCTGGGAGGCAGTTCCATGTGGCAGTAGTGACAAAGAGAAAGGTGGCACGGGTGTGTGTGCTGGCTCTAGCAGGCGCGAGTAGATGTTGGGGGCGCCTGGCGCTGTTTGATACTGTGTAGCCTAAGTCCTCCAGGGTCGTCATCTGGCTATGGATAAGGTGGTGGAGCTGAAGAAGGCACTGAATCATGAATGTGTCTTCGCCATGCGAGACTGGGCCACTGGAGGTGCGCGAAAAGTGAGGCTTTCGGCTCCGTTTGAGAAGGGAGCGCGCCATACTGCCGCAGCATCACACGTGCAACTCTTGCCTGTAGCCGTTCTAGGGTAGTAGCCTGAGCACTGGAGAGTTGAAATAATTGCCAGAGGAATGAGGCGTATTCATTCCACAGGTCGAACCGGGTGATGAGTGATGCAGCACTGTAATATCGGTGAGTGGTGCGTTCTTGCAGGTTTGCCGAGTGGGAGGTTCGATGGACCTCTCGTGTGCTCTGGATGGCAGTCGTGAGTCAGTCAAATGAGAACTCAAGTCGGCAGGAATGGCGCAAGCTCCCACGTGGGGAGCAGCACGCAATTCCCCAAATATCGCCGAAATCGCAACTACCTCATCTTAGCATTGTATTACACTTTCTAACAATATTAATGTAAACAGTTTTCTCTGAGACAAGAATGCAATATTACTCAGAAAAAGGACACACTTCAGGCTCTTTACGAACATCTTGATCGTTTTTGGTTTCACAACTTATCCGTCATGGCATAAATACCCAGTTTGGGACTTTCCCCCGTGTGTTTAGTCACTACTAGCCAGTTGTTATAGTTCCAGCATCCTTTACGAAAGGTACAGATCCCGCTTGGTTACGTTTTGCGTCTCTTTTTTTCTTCTCCTTTTTTGTCTGATTGCCGAACTAACTTCAATTGCCGACTTTGCCGCATTGTATGCAACTGGAATTCAGCAAACTTGCGTGTCCTATACCGCTTTGTACCTTTTTTTGGGAAACCTATCGAGATCGTCAGTGTGATGTGAAATACAGGCAAAAGGGAAAAGAACACCACCACAGGCTAATCCCAAAACCAGACGACAACTGGACGCAAGCCGACACCCTGCCTAAGTGAAGCTTGACCTCAAACACAATGCCCCCCTCCCCCACTACATCCGCCGGTTATTTCCATCCTGCCTAGTGGAAGTATGGAATAGTCTTACAGCATACTGGTAGATGCTCGCCAACATCCAGGACAAGACAATGCAGGCATTCAAAGCGAACGTGCGCAGACATTTGCAGAGGCTCTGGTGCTCTGGCGCTCTGGTGCTCTGGTCCTCAGGTGCGCTGGTGCTCTGGTGCGCTGGTGCGCTGGTGCTCCTGGTGTGCTCCTGGTGGGTTCCTGGTGCTCCTGGTGCTCTTAGTGCTCCTGGTGCTCTTAGTGCTCCTGGTGCTCTTAGTGCTCCTGGTGCTCTTAGTGCTCCTGGTGCTCCTGCAGTCCTCTGGTCAACTGGTGCTCTGGTCCTCTGGTGCGCTGGTGCTCCGGTGCGCTGGTGAGCTAGTGCGCTGGTGCTCCTGGTGTGCTCCTGGGCTCATGGTGTGCTGCTCGTGCTCCTGGTCCTCTGGTCCTCTGGTCCTGGTCCCCTGGTACTCTGGCCCTCTGGTGCTCTGGTCCTCTGGTCCTCTCCTCTGCGCTGGTGCTCCTGGTGTGCTCCTGGTGGGTTCCTGGTGCTCCTGGTGCTCTTAGTGCTCCTGGTGCTCCTGGTGCTCTTAGTTCTCCTGGTGCTCCTGCAGTCCTGGTCCACTGGTCCTCTGGTCCTCTGGTCCTCTGGTCCTGGTCCCCTGGTCCTCTGGTGCTCTGGTCCTCTGGTCCTCTCCTCTGGTCATCTGGTGCTCTGGTCCTCTGGTGCGCTGGTGCTCCGGTGCGCAGGTGCGCTGGTGCTCCTGGTGTGCTCCTGGTGCTCCTGGTGTGCTGCTCGTGCTCCTGGTCCTCTGGTCCTCTGGTTCTCTGGTTCTCTGGTCCTCTGGTCCTGGTCCCCTGGTACTCTGGTGCCCTGGTGCTCTGGTCCTGGTCCCCTGGTCCTCTGGTGCTCTGGCCCTCTCCTCTGGTCATCTGGTGCTCTGGTCCTCTGGTGCGCTGGTGCCCTGGTGCGCTGGTGCACCTGGTGTGCTCCTGGTGTGCTCCTGGTGCGCTCATGGTGTGCTCTTGGTGCTTCTGGTGCTCCTGGTGTGCTCCTGGGCTCATGGTGTGCTCCTGGTGCTCCTGGTCCTCTGGTCCTCTGGTCCCCTGGTACTCTGGTACTCTGGTGCTCCGGTGCTCTGGTCCTCTCCTCTGGTCCTCTGGCTCTGGTACGCTGGTGCTCTCGTGCGCTGGTGCGCTGGTGCTCCTGGTGCCCCTTGTGTGCTCCTGGTGTGCTCCTGGTAGGGGTGAAAGGGGTGATTTGGGTACCCGGTTGTTTAGCTGCTGACCCGTTAGCAAACGAGTACCCGTTAGTCGTGTACAACGGGACAGTGCGGTAATATCAGCTGGCTTGCCCAGTCGTACAACTCGATGTACAGTTTGAATGTGTTGTTGCTTGTTCGATCCTGCTACATATGACAATTTTGACTGTTTTGCGTGTAGCGCGGTAAGTGCGCATGCTGCACAAGAGCACACCAGGAGCCCACCAGTAGCACCAGTAGCACCAGGAGAACAAGGAGCACGAGGAGCACACCAGAAGCACCAGGAGCACTAGGAGCAACACGAGCACACCAGGAGCACACCAGGAGCACACGAGGAGCACCAACGCACCAGCGCACCAGAGGACCATAGGACTAGACAACCAGAGCACCAGAGGACCAGAGGAGAGGACCAGAGCACCAGGAGCACAAGGAGCACACTAGGAACACACCCCAGGGCCACCAGGAGCACGAGAAGCACTAGGAGCACCAGGAGCACTAGAAGCACTAGAAGCACCACGAGCACACCAGGAGCCCAGGCCAGGTGCACCACGAGCGCACCAGGAGCCCAGGAGCACACCAGGAGCACCAACGCACCAGCGCACCAGAGGACCAGAGGAGTAGACAACCAGAGGACCAGAGCACCAGGGGATCAGGACCAGAGGACCAGGAGCACCAGAAGCCCAGGAGCACACCAGGAGCACCAGAAATACACCAGGAGCACCAGGAGCACCAGGAGCACCAGAAGCACCAGGAGCGCCAGGAGCCCAGGAGCACACCAGGAGAACCAGCGCACCAGCGCACCAGAGCACCAGGCCACTGGAGGACCTGAGGACCAGGCGACCAGGACCAGAGGACCAGGGGACCAGGACTGCAGGAGCACCAGGAGCACCTGCATGTTATGCATTGAAAAGGATTTGCCACTTGCGATCCTAGGACGAGTATAAGGTCACCTTTGTCCTGTGTGGGCTGTATCAGATTGCTGTTCACTTCTCTATCTGTTGGATGTGTGACTTTCTGCAAGTTTCTGGTGTATGATGGCCACTTCCTCGCTTGTCACTTTGTATGATATTACATTCTGTATTCGCTGCTTCCATGGCGTGGTCTGCAAACTGCAATCCTTGGCCAAATGTCATGTTTGCTATGTTGTGCTTTGGCCGTCAGCTTGTCTACACGCTTTAGTTGAATTATTTTTGTTTCACAACTGACTTCCTCAAGTACAGTGGCCACTGCTTTGCATGGCATTATGCATGAAGAATTTCCTGTTTGTGTCGTGTGCTTGTGCGTATGTGTGCGTGGCCACGTGCGTGTGCCGTGTGCATACGCATGTTTGTGTATCTGTGTGCGGGGTAGCGAGGCGGGGAGGGCTGGTATGTATCAGTGTGTTATTGCAGTCGCATGGCTACATACAGTACATCGCGCGCGTGGTCATCATGTTTACCTTCGGGGTTGGGGTGAGGAGGGAACGGAAAAAGGAAAAAGAACTGAAATTATCCGTATAAAAACCGCTCTGTGAGCGGTTCTGAAAAAACTTTACTGGTGCTGCCCCGTCGTAAAAGGAGGAAATTAGAACTGGCCCATTGTCCCCCCAAATGCGAACTGGTCCACCTAAATCGCGAATGACGGGACCCGAACGCACCAGTAGCACGAGGTTCCTACCTGTGGATGCAGATGGGGGACGTTGGTCCGGACCATAGGCCATGTACTGTACTAGCGGTAGGACAGTATAGGTGGTATTACCCTATGATAATTGCTGTCCTGTGCTCTCCCGACCTCGTGCTACTGGTGCGTTCGGGTCCCGTCATTCGCGATTTAGGTGGATCAGTTCGCATTTGGGGGGACAATGGGCCAGTTCTAATTTCCTACTTTTACGACGGGGCAGCACCAGTAAAGGTTTTTCAGAACCGCTCACAGAGCGGTTTTTATACGGATAATTATTATTAATTTTGTAGTCAAGTGGTTTGCTTCACTGTCCGAAGAGTGCTCAATGCCCATGTAGGGCAGAGCCTTGTACACATGAGAGAGATTGGAAGCTTTGTTACAACTCTGAGTTTCACGTATTACTACGATTAGGCCTCGACCAAATATGCTTGCGCATATTTCCGCATATTTTGTGAGACAGTTCATATATGGCATATTGAGCGACAAAGGGAATATTGGAATAAAGCCAGCATATAATTCAAATATTCTGAAGAAAATGAGGCCAAAACATTCATATGATGGACAAAATGCGTTCAGAAATACCTTTTATGGATGAATTTGGAATGGTTGAGGCGTTTGCTACATTTCCCCATGGATGAACACTATCGCTACGGTTGCTGGGGACACACCCCAGCCATACTATTCCGCATGTGTTTTTGATATGCACCATAAGCATGATAGCCGTGAAGCAAATGAATATTCCAAGGTTCTAATTTTACTGAAATGATCTACACTTTCTGCTTATGTCGAGCATTTTTTGGCATATTTTGGCATATCTTGCTAAGCCTTTGGCACTATTATGGACGTTTTCCCTGATATGCGACGAGTATAATATGCTCTTTTTTTTTAGCATGTTTGGTCGAGGCCTAACTACGATCATCAGGCAGGGGGGTTCCCTGATGATCGTAGTAATACTTGAAACTCAGAGTTGTAACAAAGCATCCAATCTCTCTCTTGTGTATTATTATTAAATTTTGTATTTGTCCGTTGGGACCATCTTGTACCAACGCGTATAGCCGATTGGTTTCTAGTCTTGTGTGCAAATCATGAGATTTCATAGCAAAACCTGTGCTGGTAACAGGGAGTGTGTTTAGTGCGGCGGTGAACTGGTTACAGTGTACTCATTTGCTCGGTGTGAGCTGGCAATGCACTTCCATGTCCATGATCTAGTCCATGTAGCGAGTTTTAAGTACACGGTTACATGATGATGTTAGTTTGACAGCATGAAACAAGGTGGAGGACACTGTGTTCGAAAACAGTGACCTTACTAGAGCTACAACCATCCAGGGGTGGTAGAGCCCCGGTCCGTTGGGACCATCTGAACCATAATTATGCGTGTTGAACCCGGTTCTATAATACTACACTGCTGGCAACTGAAATCCGACCCCTGAGCGGTGCGCTCACATCGCAAAGACCCAACACGGGATGGTGAAACTAGGAAACAGAATAATAATCTGATATCGATACTAGTAATGTGCATCCACCGCTCAGGTGGTCGGATTTCAGTTGCCAGCGTGACTGTAGCATTAAGTAAGTAAATTATCGTATCCGTTCCCGAAGGGAACTCACGACGGCCGCTAACACCCGATAAACCCTAGCGGCAGATGCAGCGCCTTACGGTGGGGGTGAGTGGGCAAGTCTCACAACCACTGGCACAAGTGCCGAAAACGACCCCATTAGCTGCATCCATGTACCCCTTGTGCCTGGCCACAAGTTCCCAGTTGACTGTGGGTAGCAGCACGGCTGGAAAAACCGCTCCCAGGCAGGACTTGAACCAGGTACCTCTCGTATCTCAATCATGGTCTTTGACCAACCCACTGTGCCTGCCTGGTTGCATTGGGTTATAGAATACCACTACTACATGGTCTACCTTTGGGAAAGGGTTACATGTGACATCTCCAAAGTGATAACGAGTTGAGCAAGACGCACACAGGCTAGTACGGGTGGATCCGATTATATGTCCAGTGCAAGAATAGTAACTTTCCATATTTTTCACTCGCAAAGCAACTGTTCAGTACATGGGGTAGTGGTCTACCAGAGCAATCACACTCACCACCGTAGTGGTTTTCCAGAAATGAGTAGAAGCAAAAAACTACACTCGCAGCCACATACAATGTAATAGATAAATAGCCGAAAAACATCTAAATCCATCAAAGAACAGCCAGCAAGCAGGAGAAAAGGCCGTTAAATCAAGTGGAACAGCATCGCCAGTGGTGAGCATGGGTGACTGGGCAGCCGGGGAGCGCCTGAAAAACAATGACTCCCTACATTCCTAGCCGCGACCGCTCAACCGGGCTAGAGGAAAAACACGCCTTTCGGCCAAAAAACCTTTCTATTTCAATAATTCCTGCCCCGCTGCCAGTCGGACCCAAGAATAGAGACAGCAAGAAATGGTATGTAATGTCCAGTGTATGTCATAATCATAAGCCACACACATTGGCATAGAATATCAAGAAGAACAGCGGAAGACCCCCATGAAACCAGGGTGGGCGGGCACCTTTAACTACCAAGAGGAAAAACAAAGACCACGATGGCAGGTTCAATGGAGTTGCGCAGAACAAGAGAAAATGCCGTGAAAAAACAAAAACGTTCACAGGCTCAGCTCTGTCGTTACATCAAGAGGATAGAACAGTAGCAATACAAGAAGTAGCAATGATACCGTATGTCCACTACACTGCATAATTTTTATTTCTATAGGAATGATTAGAAAGGACACCAGCTATTGACACCAGGAATGTAGCCATGGTTGGTCATGACCTGAACAAACTGGCTCACATCGCTTCCAAAGTAGGCAACAATGACTTGGCGGTGGGTGATGGCATCATCATTGGTACTATCACCTGGCAAGTGAGCCTCTAGTGGCTTCCGAAGATAGCAGTGCGGGTATTCGAGTAGCTTGGGGAAGAAGCTGGAGAAGAATGCCACATTCACAACGAACACTCCCGAGTCATACTCTTCATCGTTGAACCTATCCATTGCTGCACCAACGTAGACTGCCAGTTCGTCATGGTCGTCAAAGCGGGGTCCGGAGAAGTTTCCCCAAACTGTTCCTCTCCATGGTTTCATGTATCCATGGGACATGTGCGTTGTTTCTGCATCGATGACACACTCCTCGTCGCTTGTCTCCGCTGGGCACACGGACACATCAAAACCAGGCCTAACCAATCGCCTGGCAATACCAGCCAGTTGTCCTGGTGTGATGGATATTGGAATCAGTGCTGGTAGTGGTGGTAGTGGTGGTAGCGCGTCGTCTGGTGAACGAACAGCAATGTCACCGTTTACATGCCGTTCACACTGTTGGCCGTGTTGCTGGTCATTGACCATGCCGTGGCCATTGTTACCACTGGTACTCATCACATGTCTGCTTGGGTGATTGCGATGTCTGCTTGGGTGATTGCGATGTCTGCTTGGGTGATTGCAATGTCTGCTTGGGTGATTGCGGCGCTTTTCTTGACCTGCGTGTGTCGTCCGACTGTTGGTCTCGAACATTGGTTGCTCATCGGCGTCGTCATCAGTGTAGCTGTAGGCACCATTGTAATCAACATCGCCATGCGCCTCACAGTCGATATCATGTTGCTGGGCTTGAGAATAACCAACGGATCTGCGCTCATGTTCCCAAACTGGCTGCCTGCGCTTGTTACTGCTAGCCACCTGGGACAAAGCAGAGGAAGGTAGGCTCTCCTGCATTTCAAAGTCATCACCATGGAGATGATGCTTTGGCATGGTGTCCGCATTGCTGGTGCCGTTGCAGAGTATAGATTTGCCCTTGGCCAGGATCTCCTTTGCTGTCAATTGATGTATGTTCTCTGGTGGTGTTGATTCCAGAATTGCTTTCCAGAGCTGAAACACCTTCACTGCATTGTCTTCCAAAGAAATATTGTTGAACACTCGGAAATGCGACAAAGCCGTCGGAACTAACATGTTGGGGTCTTGACTGCGGATCATTCGTGCTATCTTGTAACCGCGAATATACTCATAGGCGTTGCTTCGTGACAGGCCAACCTCAGTTTTCGTCCACGCGTGAAAACAGCTAGTGCTTAGAAGATGCTCGTCGTATAGAATGGAATGGAGGGCTTGTCCGACGGCATAGTACGAATAATGTCTATTCTGCTTGATGATGCCTTTCCAGTGCAACAGCCTATCACCGACAGTCTGCGCCGTTAGTGCCGGAGCTACTCCTTCACTGCTTGCTGGCAATTGCGCCTCCAGTGATGGTGGTGAATCCCAATTGACCATCACGTCCTTCACCACTTCACAAGGCGAGGTCGCCCCGTGATTCTGCACAACCTTTGCTGCGGTCGACATTCTCGCTTCAGACTCTCACCTTCGTTCTTTCCTGAAGTTCTGCTTGGAAAGTTGGATGTCGTTGAGGTGCCGGTTGAGTTTCCGTCAGGCTTTTGATCAATGCACCTGTAAACAAGACAAATATACCAGTATTAAGTCAAGAAAAGAGTACTATGTGAAAACCTCTAGCTGCGAACAAGACAATAAGCCTGTATTCAATGTAGAAAGTATTCTTGCCCATGAACAAGACCCGAAACTTGTATGCCAGCGATGAAATAGGAAAATTGATTGGATGTCGTTGAGATCCCGCTTGCGTTTCCGTCAGGTTTTTAATCAATGCACCTGTGCGTTTCGGTGTTACTGTGACAAGAAAGGAAATGACACTGATAGCACTGCAGTAGCTGATAAGCTGTAAAATCCAATCTTACCGATGTGTTTTGAGTTTCTTCTCGGAAGCGATCCCCTGGCACCTCCGATACGATCGATTCGATCCCGAGCAGCTTGTCTACCACTGGTAGTTATTTATTTATTGCTCTAGACGCGGCTACTTCACAAACCTTCTTATCTTCTTCTTCAATCTAGCCGAGATGAGCGCACCGTACAGCTCCACAAGAAAACAAGGTCCAACTGAAAGAACATTAGGCTTGACTGTCGTTTATGTACAGCTGCTGAAAGACAGGCGAGCTTGTCCCATTGGTCACAGCCACGCTCGACACA